TTTGGTGGATGAAAGATAGATTTTTTTTTGCTCTGTCTAAAAAAGGTTTTCTTCTGGTTTTGAAATTGCCTCTGGCTGGCCTGTAAAATTCTTCTTCCGCTGGAAGCATCTTTAGGCTGTGCGTCTATTCAGACTCTCTATATTCATTATATTTTTAGATTTAAGAGCGATTAAGGGTTGATTAAACCTTTAAAACGGTTGTGTTTTTTGAATGAGTGACGGATTAGGAATATCAGGAATAAGTAAATAAAAACACAGAAGGAAATAGTAATAAATATTTATAAGGAGTGGGGTTTCTTATGCACATAATCTAAATTTCCTGTTACATAATTTGTTTTAGTCGATAGGTTTTGTGTGTGCTCTTTTCTCCTCTATTTTTTTCTCTTCTTTTTTCTCTTTCTCACTGACAAATTGCTTTGCTGGTTTAAAAGGAAAATCTTAAAATGAAATAGTGTGACCGAAATGAAGAAGGTCGGTTTGGAAAATCACATTTGCTAGCCAAAGTGTTGGAAAGATAAGCTCAGCTCCGGCTTGTAGCTGGTTTTGGACAGCATGCGGTTCTCTGTAAATGGGTCAAATCCTGCTGCTGATAATGCACTTCAATTAAAGGCACCAGACGCGACCGCGGCTCGTGTGATTCCCCGGCTCTCTGTGGGAATCCCGTCGCAGATGGGTGCCTGCAGCCCACCTCACCCCACCTCTCCGCTCGCCAAGGTGGGGACCCAGCGCCGGGCGCTGCTGAACGCAGACGGGCAGGGAATTACTCGGTGGCGGTGTCTGAACGGCTTTACATTTCCAACGCGTCTCTTTATTTATATATTGAAGTAGAGAAATGCTCTGAAAAATGGGTTCGTATTAATAACCTGTAATTCTGCAGACACACGAGGATGATATGGTCTTTCACTGCCAAGGCTACCATCTAATCTGACAGTTTCCCAAAAGATGACAAGCTGCACAAATACACGGGAGCCAAAGAAGCTGAGTGTGAGAAATTAAAAGTGCTTTTTTTGTAGTACAGACTATTCAAAATTCATTTGTTTATCTGTTCTGTGTTTAGGGTGTTATTTTCATTTTAGCAAACAACCATGTAAATAAAAAGTGAAATTAAGAGGAAAAATGCCAAAGAAATTATGTCACTTAGTTTGATGGCTTCTGCTTATAGTTTATAAACAAGCGGAGGGTTTCACAGAACATACCGTGATACATAAAAAGGCTTTCATGATCGTCTTGAATTAAAATGTATTGATATAATTTTTGTACAAATATTCCCCCGCATGATTATGAGTCCAAACCATGGCAGCATGGTTTGAGGGCATGTGAACCAGAAATTAAAACCGAGCCTGAGAGTCTGATTTAATTACCCTTGCTAAGTGAAAGGCAAAAGAGAGAGAATAAACAGTGAAGAAGGAGGCTCTGTCAGTGAAATATTTTAACAACCCACCACTTTCATACGCCGCCTTTTCTGTTTGATGTTGGTTTATATTGACTGAACCTCCTGGTCGGAAATTTGGACTTGGAAGCTCCTGCGGCCGTCGGAGCTCTGCCGAGCGGCGCTGGGGTGAGCTGAGGAGCCCCAGGGTGGGGGGCTGCTCCCCACACCCCGGCGCAGCGGCAGGGCATGCTCTGCCCCCCGCGCATTTGTGCTGCGTCGATGTGAGCGACGGGTGCAGGACGGAGAAGAAACAGCTCTGCCAGCTCTGTCAGAGCCCCTCGGCCTCACCGCTGCACAGGCGTGAATTTTAATGCGTTGCCGGACTGGGGATTTACGCTGTGCAATTGTCCCGGTAGCCTCCGTGGGTGAAAGCCTCATCTCGCTGGCGTGCGTGGCAAAAATGCTGTCAACTTCCAGAAGCCCGTTTTTTACTCCAAAGGACTAATGCGACCCACTGTCTGCTTTTTATTAATTATATTTGGTTTGTTTTATTCAACCGTCATTAAAAGCCTCTCTCCCTTTATGAACAGGGCTATTTATTATTTGTTAGGGTAGAGAACATCCCTTTTTCACTCTGTAAGAGTGCTGAGGTTTGAAAATGCAGTTATGCAGGGAGGGGCACGGCGCTAGCTCTTTGCTTAGGTGAGCGGTTAGCTACTCCCAAGTAACTGTTCAGGTAAGCACTTCTTTCTGCTACTTAATTTTCTGTAGATTTATTCCTCCAGGCTCCTCCCTTTGTTTATAATGGCATCTTTTATTCTGAAAAAAATCTACAAACTCAAAGGAAAAAAAAAAAAACAGAAGCAGAGCCAGGGAAGATACATTGTACATATCTCCTGGTTTATAAGTTTCATGTTTGATAAAACCATGTCTCAGTAAAAAAAAACAAAAAAAAAAAGGGAAAAAAAAAAGAGGAGTGTTTAATTTCACTTTGCTGGAGCAATGGCAAACTCACATAACATATAATACAGAGTATCAGAGCTGTCAATCATGCCACGATAAAATGAATACAAACTACAAAATAAAGCTGAATAGGATTGAAATACTCAACAGCGTAAATTCCAAGGGTTTTGTCTGCAATGAAGATGTGCACCTTCAGCCAGCATTCGTTTGGGTATGAGTTGAACTGTATGTTGCCTTCACAGCACACAGTACCACCGAGTTTTATCGGGAGAGCCCTAGGGCGTTTGAGCAGGGGGGGATGTTTGGGGTATTTCCAGCCGCCTCCTCCCTTGGTGCCTCCCAGGACCCCAAGCCCCCACCCTACGGGGTCCCAGTAACAACCGGCGGAGCTGCCGGGGGCCCTGCTAATTAATGAGATTGCTCTGCCCTCTGTAGGGAACTGCCCGCGCTGCTGCTGCTCCTTCTAAAGCTGCTCCTAACGCTGCTGCTGCTGCTAACGCTGCTGACCCTGCTGCTGCTCCCGCTGATGCCTGCAACGCCG